GCCTTTTCTTATCTTATATATATTATCTATTCTGTGCAGGTATTCCCATAGGATAGCGCAACAACCATTTCTTAATTACTTGACTCAAATCTTGAACAAATTCATCAAAATCCTACAGGCTTAATTACTTCAGGTAGAGTTTTTACTTTCTTTAATTTCATGAATAATTTCAGATGCAACTATGCTCAATGTTACTACCACATCGTTCTATTCTACTTTAATCTTTTTGTATAATAAAGTCCATCTAAATAACAAGAGAACCATTTAATTATGAGGATATTCTGTAGTATTACTTCATCTTAATCAGGCTAATTAAGCTTTTACTCTGCATTTGCATATTGCAAGAAATGGATTTTATTGATGTTCTCTTGTAAATTTCGCTTTCCATATCAGGAGAGTGCAACAAAATGAAGGGAGATGGCCTAATGTCCATGGAGGATCAAGATTCTTCTCGTTTATAATTGGTAAGAAATCAGCAATGAACAAGTTTCGGTTATCTTCTCTGTTATTTCATCCTTAAATCTCAATTATCAAATGTTTCTTTCTACGATAAGGTGGAGCTTCTGACTATAGAAATCTTTAGAACTCATCTCGCTCCCGATATCTCTATCATTCACATTTTTTAAGCAGTATCCTTGGATTCATCTATTCTTACATTATGGCAATGATACAACTACTGTAATCCTTTTTCATTCAGTTTTCTTAACAATAAATTGATTTGCAGAGTATGCTTCAAGATCAGATGTTTTGATGAATAAATGGTAGTGTACTTGGGATCCATCATGGTTGCAGCAACAAACTTCTACCCTCCAAACAATGCCCTCTCTGGTAATGCAAGAAGGTGGTGCATTCCTCTTTTCAAGGCACTTTAATTTCCCTACTGTGCTTCACCTTCTCATCCCCACTGTTGTCGGAGAGATTTTCTACCATTTCATCAAGAAAATGCTAAGTTTTAATTCACTTTTGTAGGACATGGATTTTCTTGGAGTTTTTTTGGTAATTTCTCTAGCCACATATCAAGGACAATTCGAGGATATGTATGAAGGTGGATGGATGGAGTACTGCTTCCAGGTAACGTTATGCTCAAATCATTAATCCCTTATTGTGCAAATTTTAAAAGTTTAAATTCAAGTTACTTGCTATATATGCACTTATTGGACTAATTAGAACTGTTGTTTTACTTTCTTTCCTCCTTCACTCAGGATCAGTTTGTTGCATATCTGTCCATCATTTTGGAGTTGGGAAAAACACTCTTCGTGGATGCATAATTGAACTGAAAGGGTGGTATATGAAGGCTAGCAGGGGAAAAAGTTACTAGTTAGTGGCTGCTTTAGGGGATCATTCCAAAAAGGAATTGATTTGCTAATTACTATGATGGTGATTCAAGAACTTATTTTTGACAATTTATTGTTGTTGAGAGTTTCTAGCCTTGCCTAGAGAGGCACTTTGTAATTAATCTTGACATTTCAATAGTG